CTCCTTTTGGTGGTATACAGTGTATCTCTTTTGGTACACCATACATTCTCACACCGCTTATGCTTACTTTCTTCTGCTATCAGTCCAACCCCCAAACTCCTTGAACATAAAATAGTTCGTGGTGACCCCCTCAATGATGCGCCCAAGGAACTGGCGTCGGTAATAACAAATTAATTTTAAACAACATAGGTCAAGTAAAGTAACGTTTTGTTTTTCCTTTAGACATCATATATATATATATATATATATATATATATATATATATAAACTTTCTGGCCAAGAGTGCAGGTGATAATGAACCTTCTCACAATGCACGAACGTCATTTGCCTTAACTTTACTAAACTATTGGGTGTGTAACAAATACAGATATTCCATGCTGTACTTTTCCAAGTGCTCTCAGGGATTTTTACCAAACTTTCTTGTCTGTTCTAGAAAGGCGCTGATACCCAGAGAACACCTCTTATACGACTCTTTATCAAGGATCGGCTCGGTAGGTGTCCAAAAAGTTAATTAATTAGCATGTTTTAGTGAAATTTAAATAACCCCATTTCGCCGTGTTTCCCTCTACGCTGGGTGAACTCGTTTTCTATTCATCTTTCAGTCAGATCCACGTCTTGAAAGCTTTCGAAAAGAGCGGCTTATCACGATGAAACAGACGCTGGGGCACCTCTGTAGTCAATGTCCAGGTTGTTGTTGGTTGCAACACCGTATCGAATTATCTGGCCACATTTATGCCTGGGCCTGGAAGAAGCGCTTAGAAATATAACTTCGGACTTATGGGCTATGTCTAGCATGGATATGACGTTGGCAGGATCTTCGTCTTACTAGACTTGTCAAACTGGACTGTGCACTGTAGACGTGCGTACATGTTGCCACAGCGTTTACCTGGCGTCATATAGATTTACGATTTGAAGGACAGACTGTCTGGATTTAATAACTGGGTAACATTGCCCACTGCTTACTCACCATACCAAAGTTATGACAGACTCCGACGTAGCTCAGTAGACACATGAGAAGGCTAATGAAACAAATGTTAGCCCTTTTGACTTCCCATTCACTGACCTGGTTTGCATAAGAGTTTACGCTCGATGATTCGTTAAATTTCTTTGTACCACCCACTATTTCAATTGGCAGATGGTACAGTTTTCCTGAAACCTGACAACCCCCTATATGTATGGTATGTGAATGTTAACAAAGGGGCTCAAATAGAGCATCCTCGACCTTTTTAAAAATATGTAATCGCCCTCTGAAGGCCGGCTTGCTTCAATCTGTATACTGACCTATAAGCTATAGAATACACAAATAATGCTTTACTTAGAGTGACCGAAAAAGGCATTTTCTGTGTTTCATTGGATTGAAACATTTCACCAAATTTCTTACCAAGTAACTCAATCGCTGACTATGTATGTTAAATTCCCTTTGACCATGCGGTCTACGCACAACGGTGTTTCTATCATCATTCCGCTCTTTGGCAGTTGAAAAATGAAGCGTCCCTTGTGAGCACGTGCCATCTACCGGACAATCGATAGCCGCCCTTTTGTGAACCGCTGACTACAGCTGTCCATAATAATATGTCAGCATCTTTGGAACTGTTGATCTTGAAAACCTAAATCCTATAACCCGTGATATTTTGCAGTAAACAGGACCGTTCAACGACGTAAGACGGAGTCTTTTTTATGTTTCTTAAAGAATCTCTGAGACCATCAGTAAAACTCAGGTTCTATTATGCTGCGAAGCCTAAAATATTCGTTAGGAAGAATTATCTGGATTTTAGCAAATTCATTTTTATTTAGAATATCCGGCAGTTATATTTGCTATCATCTTGTTGAGTTCCTTTAGTTTTCATCTCGAAAGTTGTCCGATTGCCAGTGGCAATTTAGCAGTTGTGAAGATCCACTTATCCAGTTTTGAACAAGTGATCTAAAACAGCCAAGTGACTGTTCTAGAGAAAGTCATTCTCTTACAATTTGTGTTGGCTGTCGCCCTCATAAATATTGCCCAGCAACACGTGGCAGATGGTCACACCTGTGAACGTTTAAAATGATTTAAGTGGAAGTAAAAAGCTACTCCGGTAGTGCCGAATGTTTGGCAACATTCTCTGTGTTATGGCTCTCTGTAAAATTTAAACTTGGATGTCGTTCAAATTCAACTGTTGGATCCGCCAAACTCCGGCATACCACCGGGTGTCATACAGAACGGACAAAAATTTTGCATTGCGGAAGCTTTTTCCATGACGCGTCAATTCATCTTGAGTGAGGCATTTTTAGATGTATTTGGTGCATCCTAAATAGTAGCCGCATATTAAAAATTCCATCAATTTTTCAATGAAACAGTTAAAACCTTGGGTTTTACTCAATCCGGCGGCCAGTCTAGATAGTAATCCCGTAAACGAATTGAGGCACCGAATCAGCGCCTATTGTCGGTAGTTAGTGGTATCGCCTAGATATTTGAGTTATCCGCGTTATCTGAATTGCGCTATCCTTTATCAATGGACAGTATGCCAGCATCATCGGCAGCAAGAATGCCATCTCATGCCTCACGTGTTTCCTTTCAGTGAAGAAATACCGGAACGGGCGTACATTTCGTCTCCTTGCAACGCAAAGAAGTAATGACTGGTAATCCACCGGATGGTCCGCTGAGCAGTCTAAACAAACGGAAACGAAGTGGGAAGTCCTGACAGATACATGAACTAGACCGAATGAATAGTTCTCTACCGGTTGCTACGTGGCGTTTGCTGTGTCGCAATGGACGGCACAAGTGCTTTAATTTGAGTAGTTATAATTTCTCTTGGTGACCAGAGGCCATAATAGCTATACTTGTCGCACTTAAGCTCAAGTTTTTAATGTCCAAAAATGCTTAATTAACATGGCTTCTGTTGCTGTTTGGCACATACTTGACGGAAAAATAGTATTTATTCCAACAGTCACAAGGCGTCCGCGTTAAATCTGAATCAAACTACAAGGTTAAAATATCCTTTAAGAAACTAAAATCATATGATCCTTCGCCGGTAGTTGGACGTACTAAAGTATATCTGAGGCTCAAAAAAGCCGTGATTTCTAAGAAAAGAACCCTTGGCTTAGAACGAAATTCTCCCGGAGCTCAAGTACAACGAACTTGCCTCCATTCTACCGTTCTTTAGGCTTTATTTACGAAAAGGCTTGGTAGAATGCATATGCGTGTCTGTTTTAGGCGACATGCTTGCTAATTCACTTGGGTTGGATTCGACAAAAGTGACATGATTACAATAGATTACCTAAATGATTTCTAGAATTTGGCACATCCGCCTTATCCATTCTATCATCGTTGGTGCCACACATTTGTGATGACCGGCGCCTGAAGTTAACAGAAACCTGTGGGGTTATGTGGCTTCGCTCGTCGGTGTTGCGTATTCCACTAAGCAAACTTGTATGTACATATATTAATGGAGATTTGCCCGCGGAACTGAAAGTGTTGCACTGTTACATTTAGCTAGGTTGATGTGCACCTGGGAGTACTGTTTGTGTGCAATCACACACGGGTCTGATGACAGCTATCAGGTAGTCTAAGCATCAAAATGGCTACCAAAATTTTGGCGCCTGCACTTCATTCCGTTGCGGTCTGACTGCCGAAAGATGCATGCCACCTATCAACTTGTCCTGACGAAAGACATTATAGAGGCTGTCAAGTAGTACGTTGCACTGAAGGGTACACATCATGTTACCACAAATCCGAGTAAATTTATCTCAGCGTAGCCATAAGCGTCTCGCATAAGCATTTTAAGCTATAATATAACACAATGAAAAATAAAAATTGTCCCGCTGTAACGCTACTTCGATGCCTAGCTGCTTTGCCCCGGTTAGGGGGAAGCCTAGACAACGACAGTCGAGATGCCTAGAGTGGATTCGAACCGCCGATATTTTGGTCAGTAAGGTTGCTCATTAACGTCTGAGCTGCCTATGGCTCCAACAAGACGGTCTAACTACAGTAACAGATGGCATATTTACATGAGGTCACTGGTGTTTTCAGTTTAATTGTAAGCTGCGAATATAATAGTTGATCAGTCTTTACATGTTAATTCAGCCAAACGGATTTAAAAAGCGTTAGGTTTATTGATAAGTTAAATAAAGTGAGGAATTTTCGCCTTTAAATACTTGTTCGAAATCAATGCCGCTTCACTTTTGACAGTTCCGAGCGGTTAATTGCCATCTATAAATAAATTGCCAACCATAAGGATGCTCATATAAAGCTACTCTACGGGCTGAATCCCATGGTTTTAATTGAAAAGGTAGGTAAATCGATTGCGAACTTAGCTACGCTTGAAACCTGTTGCCGTGTTTCTCCGACACACTTGTATGTGTGGAAATCTAGCCCACATACAAAAACACATATAGTCAAACAGCGATTTAATGAAGATTTGTGGCGTCTCAGCTTTTACAAATTATCAAGCCTGAGAAAAATCAATGAAAGTTATACGTGGCTATTGCGGTCACTCATTTTGTCTCAGTTTTCCCATGAAATCTTTACCCAATTTGATGTTATAGAGTTTTGCGTGGCACCATTGTCCGTGGCCAAAAATGTTAGCAAATTTTTAAAACTTTTTAAAATATGTGTCGGTTAAAGAAAATTCAACCCAGGACCCTTCCGGAAACCAACTCAGAAATTGGGATTATTTCACAATAGACTATTTTGTGATGGCCAACGTATCTGAGTTAAGCTAGTGCATTGAGGTTTTTAATACAAGTACACGCAAGTTTCTGACAAAGCTCCATTGCAATTAATGTGGACAAATACTACCTTTAAAAAGGAATCGGCTATGTCGTATTAATTTTACGTCTAGCTGGGTGTAGGATACCAATGGAAACATTATTGGTTGCACGTTTGACCAATGAGGTTTCAGCCTGCACAAACCAATCACAGTGAAAAGTTTCTAACATTCGTCCATGAATCCCTCCAGGATTATTCCGTTTCGCTGAAGCTGGTGGACGCTGGAGCCACCATTCTTACAACCTTTCGGTACGCAGTAAGAGGCACAACGCAAAATGACTTGACTTGAACAACCTCTTAATGAATGAATATCAACCAGACAGAAAGAAAATGATGGAAAATGATATCAGTAATGCCATGACCTACAGGTGAGTTGTGATGTTTGACTCTTTTGAAATAGGTGACAGAGATTACAGTGGGTGGTTTTGTTAAGATTTTTGTGATTCGTCCCATAACTGGTTGACTTTAAAGTGCTAACATTTTACATGAAACTTCAACACCCCTTACTTTTCGCCAAAATATCGCGTCAGGGCGGCTTTACGGTACTAAACTGTAGACTCCCATTGTGAAAGTGGTTGTCTGCCGGAAGATGAAATGGATCATGTGGTGTTTAATATGAGCTAAATGAATATCTAAGTTGACTTCTCTGGCTAATGTGTAGAAACGGACTAAATTGTTAAAGCTAGGCTACCAGGATAATTTTGCGGAACATTGTGCTTGGCTTAACTCCAAACCATATATGCGACAAGTTCTTGTAGCCTCTTAAAATTCACAACAGGAAATGCGGCTTCGCCAGAATTGTAATACACATATTTCTTTGTTCACAGTAGCATAACTTTTCTGGATCAGGAAATGACCATCAATATTTTTGTATATTAGTGACTACAAGGTCATCAGTAAGCCTGTTTCTTAAACAGGCTTGTGTATCATGAGACACATATCCCGAAGATTTATTAAGAATACAGAACACACAGTTTGATCCTTGCAGGTTAAGCATTCATTTTTTATCAAGCCTCCATTTTGTCATATTCTGGAGTTTTCGAACAGCCCCTAGTTTGAAGCAGATACCGTGCCAGCCACGAAAGTGTGTAAGGCTAACATGTTCCTCATGGCTGGAGGGAATTGTGAGCAAGGTAACAGAGGGGGTTGACGACCTAAGAACCGGCAGGTAGGTGGAACTCTGTTGGCACTTGGATAAGAAACGTTAAGCTGTTTCCCTGGGTCCAGATGTGCAATAAAGATTACGCAAATATATAATTCGGAACACATAATGACCAGGTATGTTTGCAACACAGATCATGCAACCGTGAGATCATGTGTAAAATTCAAATACAAATTCCATTCTGGATAAAACTGGCAGTTGATTATAGGTCTTTGTTGAATAAAAGGTTGTAGCCGGTCACGAAGCAACACATAATCCTTAATCTTTAGATTGTTGACATGATCAAATACGCTGATTCCACTTTAAAACAACTTTGGTTAAATTCATCACACAGCCTATCATTTTCCATTAGGCGAAAATCTGCAGTGTATTGCATTATGACCGGAAAATGATAAAGAAATTTATAATTTTGGTCATAAAAACAGTGTCAGAATCAAATACTCTTTGCGAAACGCACACCAGTACACATATCTTTTGAGTTAAACTGATATTCTAAAGTGCACCAACTTTTAATTGTAGTCTGCGCTGAGTGCAACCTGTCGTAGTAGATTATACCTACGCCGAAACAAGCATTGCTACATGACAACACAGTCAAACGTTTTGTTCTAATTGTCATGGAGGCAAGGTGAACATTCTAAGCTTTTGTCCACATGTGGGCGGTGCGTGCTAATTTTGCTTACAAAATGCCATTATTTTTTAATATTTGCCAGGATGGCAATTTGTGCATTCAGCGCATCAGAACAGATGAAAAGTATATATTTCGAGTAAATTTGAGGTCACTTACTCGACGTCAGAAATGATTGCGTTTTGCCGAACTATGGAAGATTGTGAATCGTTAAAAATCATCGAGCACCTTTTATCCACAAAATTGCTTTTGACCAACGGTTATGAGTTTCGTGTTTGCCATGCATTTGACCTACCAACTACCAGTATTTTCTATCTCTGTTAATCAGTAAAGTGACTGATCATCGCGCATCAATAACAATGATTCCTCACATATTCGAGTTGAACAATTGTCTCATTTCCAGAGTGGCGCTGAATTAGGTTCACTTCTCTTGAAATGGGTGATTATGTATAGGTGAAGTCGACGGAAACATATTTTGCTTGATTCCAAATTAAATTATCTAAATACATATAGTATGTTGTAATAACTTCGTAGACCTGGAAACTGCTTCTGCTATTGAACTTCGTAATTGGCTTTAGGAAACAATCCGTCTGGCTTCTGTGATGCAACAATCTCGTGGATTTGATTACTTACATTACTAGGGTACCCTGGAGAGCATGGAATACAAATTGTCTGTTCAGTAGGATGCCAACTCAGCATTCAACTACCTACGTTTTTGTTGTCCGCTAGCTGCTTCATGACCCCATACTGTGTTGTTACCTACACAGATTCCCGTGGCGCATCACGACACTAGAGAACTGTGTTCACTGTTTGAATCTCACAAATCTCAGCAATAATCTCAACTGTTTAAAAATGTTGCTGATGAAGGTCTGTGGTGAACAGTACGTTTTAAAAAATCTTTGTGTAGCCTACATATAGGAAACCATGTTACGCTGATTTGGCGCTTCATTTTTCAGCGGCATTACAAATGTTCACCACGCTTATTTTTATTTTTGTGCTGAACTTCAATGTCTCAGTCGGAAATGTGTAGTGATGGGCAACATGCGAATGACCCTTTAACAGTTTATTGTTTTCAAGGTTAAATTGAGTTTATTGCAGAGAGCTGTTCGATGTTCAGTAAGCAAATTTCCTGAAGAACTCAGGATGATTTTCCTCGCAAGCAATAAATAAGCGTCGGGTGAATACTCCTTTGGTCTTAGGCCTAAAAGTCAGTAAAATTGAAGGGGTCATACCCCTCGAATTGTGTAGCAATCAGGGTGCGATACAAGTAGATGCATTGCACAGAAATATTAAATCACAGAAAAGATTCCTCAGCATAATAACAGAGAGATAATAAAGTTATCATAACTTTACATTTAAAGTTGAAGTGGCATATAACAGCGAACCAAGAGCACCGCAAATGTTTCCAAGGCACGGCAAAGACATGTAAACAGGGGTACAGTCGATTTCCACATTTATATACGGTGTATCTGAAGTGCTGCCGGACACTTTTGGAAAAAGCACCTACCCGTAAAATAGATAAATTACGTCCTCTTATACCGTTTGTTTGCTCGCACACAATTACCCACTCAGCTGGCCTGCAGCTTATTCAACAAGTTACTAAAACTTCACTGGGGCGCCTCCGTGATTTGATTTGATGCTTTTTATCCGTGGATGAATTCAAATGTTTCTTCATTGTGAACCGACTACCTCTGTTAACCTTTTGGTTATGTAGTTCTACTTACAAACCTACAAAATTTGATATCCAAGATTCGTGGACCACACTTATTAGCCACTAGGAAATAGTTAAACCAATAATTACACCTTGATCGGATTCATTTACAAGTAAAACACCTTCATCAATATTTCTCAAATCTCCTAAAACTACGAGTCTCATATTATCAATTATCCATATGGTGCATTAGGCTAATTTGAACTTCACTTTCACTGCGGGAAAAATCTTGGTCCAGAACACGATACAGAGTGCCATGACCCTGAAAAAATACCGAAGGTACAGACATAGTATTTGAACGGCCAAATCGCTATTGACTGATCCCCTTGCGAGCGCGCAAAACTCTGATGTAGTTTGATTTTTGTTTAACTTCACATGCATCTAGAGGGTTTATTTCTAATCAAATGGCAAGAAAATACCTTCACGCTACCAGAAAATATCACCCGATGGCTTTTTGTCCTGAACATTAGATTCCCCTAGCTCGGAAAACAGACAACCCAAATTCTAATGTAACTTCACTTTATGTACTGTTCCAATTCACCGCCTTACATCAATACTGTAAAACAGAGGTCGACGAGCAGTTAAATACTGAGAGCCAATTCCGTAACTCGGTTAACAAATCATTAAGCCTGTTTCATATTTCGACGCAGTTTTCAGCACTTGAGACCAAAATGTTCAACAGACGCTTATGCAGATTAGGTTGACGTAACACACTTCCAACTAGGTTGCTGGAAAATCCACAATAGCTCTTCTTTGGGTTTACCAGAAAGGCAAAAGGAACTGGTCGTGTTGACGCTCGTACAATTTATTGCGGTATCTCAATATTCGTAGAAACTAGAAAACGAGGCCACCCAGTGCAGTACACCGGTGACTCAGCTGGGATACATCAGGTGAGCCACCGATGAAATGAGTGTATTTTCCAGAATAATTTGAAGTTGTTTAGGCAGATATTGACGGGGCTTTGCGATTTCGGATTGCGAGCAGCATTTAAAGATATTTGAGCTCATACTCACGCCAAGTATTGGTAAAAGAGAGCAGCCTTGAAGAAAATTGAATAGGGGGACAAAGTAGTAGGAGTCTAGAGCTCTGAGAATTGGTTGTCCTAGTTGAAAGCAGACAGCTTAACTGCGATTCTGGGCATTCCCCTCTTACCAGCGCCAGTCAGACGAAAATACCTGAAAGGAAATCCATAGAGATATTTTTCAAAAACAAGTATTAAACGACGTACGGTATCCTAGTAGTCAGGAGCCTTGATTAACTTACTCGAATGCTATATGTGAGTGAAGTCTTGACAGTAATTCGCCATTTATCATGTGAACGGGAACTAGAACAGATAGTTATGGCTATGTAAATTACACTTTAGGCTTTGATAAATCACGAAAATTAGACATATCACCCGTTCCTTATGGATTTACTAGCCGCACTTCTCGGCCGAAACACCTGGTTACCAAACTATCCGATAATGGAAAGCTTTAATTCTGATCTCTCCGATATAAAACTGAATTAGGTCCCACCGGAAATGGTAGGTGCAGAAAATGAGCTAAAAGCGTTCGTGATTGGTAACTGGGAAATCGTGATAAAAATAGATTTTTTCCAAATGGATTTCGGACGTCGACGTAACACATCGCTAGTCTTTGTGCCTTAAGTGCTACTTTCCGACACATCCCCATCTTATTTAGAAGCATAATCCCAAAAAGAGTCCTACGGTTTGCGTGTGCAAATGAACAGGATGTCTCACCTGCACCACAGGTTTATGAGTACTACATATGACAACTTATAAGCTGTGTAGAGTTGACGGAAGAATAAGTACCTTCAACAGAATGGCCTCGGTCACGTCGTCCGTGAGTGTTAGGCCGACAACACTGTCACG